ATTTTAAGGAGAACGAATTCTGGACGGTAAAAGTTGTATTTTTGCCCCCGCAGGGATTTCGCCCAAAGGCGAAATCCCGAGGAGGCACCCTTGACTCGCGCGTATATTAAGGACAGTACTTACAGTTCAAATATACAGTCTGTATACTAGAAAAAATCTCGATTTGCTCGAACTGGGGCCGCGAGGAATCGGTAGGTAATGATGACGTTTCTATTGTTTGCGCCCGCAAGTACGAAATGGTTAGGATGACGAAAAGACAGAAAATCCCGAAGAGATCGCTCAGATAGATTTTGTGACATTTATAGTGTGGTCATACTTCGATACTCTTTTGCGTTACGCAGTGACATTCTGTGGAGCAGTTTTTTTGAAAGTTATGGACCAAAAGACACTCGTTAAGAGCAGGGGAGGTTATAATGTGCGTTTAACTGTGTAGATATATAAACACTTGGAGAGTTTGCCAGACACGAGTTCACAAATCTTTGATTTATATTAGAAACCTTGCCAGACACTCTTTCTCTCTCTTTGACCGGAATAAGACTCAGCCCCAAACAAGCAAGACGAGTGAAAAACGGCTAGCTTATCACTAGCAGATTGATGGACATTTACAGAAATTCGCCGACAATCAAGTTCTGTACTGACTAATTCCCTGCTCACAGATGTCCTTCCGTTATAATGTTTCAAAAGACTAGAATGGGCTAGCGTGGATCGATCAAACGTCCTTTTAATTTCTAAGGCTTAGTTTCCGGCAAATAAAATGAACTGAATGTAAAAAGGGAAAGAGACATAGCGAAAAATTCAATTTCTAATTAAATCTTCTCTTATGGTTTAGAATAAACTATTCTCGAAACTGAGAATGTTTTGATCAAAGCTGTGTAAATCGAGCTGAAACTGTGCATGGAACCTTGCGTTTCCTGTATTTATCTCACCTATTGTATGTCATGTGTGAAAATCTTCATTATGAATCGGTATATTTCAAAGAGCTACACAACCAGCAAGAATACTATTGACCGACAATATACAAAACGGGGGCAGCTGTAGTGTCTACTATTACTAGTTTAGATAAGAATGACCGGTACAACGCTGCATTTTAAGCCACAGAGAAGTGTAGGATAGCGTCAAAACGGTCCCTTTTTTACATAAATTTGAAGTCACTTCAGTTAACACTGAAAGACTATAACCTGGGCCGACAAAAGCGCCATAGGTTTTAGTAACATTCATAGTTTTTGTTAAATGATAATAATCAGTTTTTGACCATTGTTCCAGCTTTGAATTTTTCTCGCGCAACTTGCCAAAGACATCTAGGGTAACGGGCTCTTAGGGAAGAGAAGAACGGTGACCCCATCTTTTTATTGTACATTTTAATTCACTTATTGGGCCAATTTTGAAAAAATTCTGGATGGTACATCCTTTTCTGAGAGGGTATTACCTTTCAAAAGTAGGTTGAGTTTGATCGTCCGGGTGAACGTAGTCCTGAATAGGACTGTTGTTGACAGTGAATGACGTTTCGACAACCTTTGCGGTAGTCATCTTCAGAGTCAAAGTGAGTTGTATGACGTCAGTTGATGGTAGTATACTCTGGTTATTGGTCTGATTGGTCAATTACGTTGCCATGTTATTGGTCGTCTGTCAGTTAAGCCTTGATGTTATTGGCTATGAAGACTCGTAATCAGTAATTGGTGAGTTTCGATCCGTCTATTGTTACAGTTCAAACAGTCATCTATTGTTAGTCAAATTGTCAGTTCTCCAGTCGTTCTCTCGTAGTTAAGTCTTGCTTGATCTCGTCAATAAGTCGTTTGTATGGCGCTGGTAACTGTTGGCTACGATTCAGTAGCGTTTGTTCTAAGTTAGTAAACCAGCTTTCTAAAGTAAGACGTTGATAGGAGTCTGTAGAATACGTTATACCTTGTCGCAGAGTCCCAGTCAATTTGATGTTTCGTCTTTAAATGGTGCTCAGCAATGTGATTGTTGACGTCACCATTCCTCGTCGCATTCCAAGAATCATTCGGTCAGTCGCGTGCTTAAGTTTTTTGCCGGTTTCACCAATGTAAGAAGCCTGGCAGTCGCAGCATTTGATCTTGTATACTGCTCCCTGTCTGTCTTCCGGTTTTTCTTTGTCCTTGGCATTAGTAAGCAGTAGCTGTAAAGTGGTTATCGGTTTGTGTGCAACACGTATATTGTAAGGTTGTAATATACGTGCAATAGTTTCAGAGGTGCCTCTGATGTCGTAACAGGACCAGAGTTGGTCTGAGTGTGGGAATCAGTGTTACTGTCAGTGAGTGTTCCGTCTAACAAAGTCCGTGTTGTAATTGTTCTTACTAAAAACGTTGTTCAGATAATCAGTCTCGTCTTGTAGGCTTTCAGGTGAGTCGCAAACTAGTTGCGCTCGTCTCGTCAGAGTCCGGATAGTATAGTATAGTATCTTTATTGCGCCTTACTCTCCTTGTGAGAGGTCGGGTTGTACGAAGACTGGTCTAGTAATCGGTCGGTATGTGTCAGTTTTCTGTAAATAGTCGTTTTTAGTTTGTTGTTGTCGCGAGTGACCAAGCAGTCTAGAAAAGGTATCTTGCCATTTTCTTCGATCTCCTTGGTGAACTGTTTGTCCGCGTTCTGTCTGTTAACGTGTTCGTGAAAATCGTCGATTCCGTCTTTGTGTACGGCGGTGAATGTGTCGTCAACGTAAGGTAACCAAAGAGGTACAGTTCGCGTGTAGGTAGCTAGGGCTTGTTCCTCGATGTTTTGCATGACAATTTCTGCTACAACAACAGAAACTGTAGAGCCCATAGCTGTACCGTGTAACTGTTTGTAGTGTTTGCCGTTGTACTGAAAATACGTCGAAGTCAAACAGAGGTTGAGTATAGGTCCATAATGTCGTCTGTAAGTAGTGGTAGTTGAACAGTATAGAGTTCTTAATAGCGTTCTCAGTACAGTCTAGAGCCAGTTGAAGTGGAATACGTTCACCCGGACGATCAAACTCAACCTACTTTTGAAATGACTCTTGGCCTAAAACCTTTCACGGTATTACCTTTATTGCTTAATTTTCTTGTTATTTTATCTTAAACTTGTATTTCAAATAGCAAATAATAAAAAAATGTAATATTTCTAAAAGTGAGTAAATAAAGATTGTTGTTGTTGAAACTTCCATGATTATTTCTGTAAGTATGTATACCTTCTCCGGCTGAAATCGTCGATACGCTGTTGAGAGAGAACAATAGGATTGTAGAAGGGTCGGCTATCTACCCAAAGGGACATATAGAAGCGGATATTCTGTTCCGCGTTCATCCTATTTCAATTACACCATAAGAAACGCTGCAAAACCGCGCTTAATGACCTTTGGTTGGGGCGGTTAAGCATTTCCTCAGGCTCTGATACAATCGATTCCTGCCAATGTGTTCTTTCCGCATTTTTTCTTTCTACGCGCATAGTTGACAACTCGTGAGATTTTCTTATACAAGTACGTTGGACTCGTCATTAAATGTTCTAAACGCAAGTCAAGCAGGCCCGTAAGTCAAGACCAAAAAAGAATTTTGTACCTAAGTTACCTAATCTTTTTAAATAGTGATAAAAGTGTTTACAAGCCTACACGACTCCTGCAGTTCGCGAATGATAAATTCTAATACAGCCTTCATAGCTTAGCTTTAACTAGGATGTCCTTTAGGGATTTTCCCTTACGGTATGAGTTGATGGGGGGCTCCTTAAAGATTTCTTTCAGGTGCGGTTGATTTTCTATAAGGTGCCATTTCCCCATGAGTGTGTCCTTTAGGTTAGGCAAAGCCGGATGGTATTGTGTTACAAAGGGCAGTATTTTCTTAGGTACGGTTTTGTTTTACTGCGCAAGCGACATTTCTCTATCAGAGAATTTAATCTCTGAAAGGTGTTTTTCTACAATTCTAGCTGGGTAATCTCTATTCTGCAGGCGTGTTTTGAAATTACTCATGTTTTCCTCAAAAGTAAATTGAGAAGAATTTGTTCTCAGAAGCCTTAACGCTTCTCCTTTTATAAAGCCTTTCGTGACGCCTGGTGGGTGACACGAATACAAATTCGTGTATTGAAAGGTTTCTGTAGCTTTGAAATGCGTTCGCACGTCAAGAATAGATTCCTTTTTGAATCTGTCACCTTTGTACACTTTCGTGTCTAAGAATGTGGTTTCTGTTTCTGAGATTTCAGCCGTAAATTTGATCGTTGGGTGAAAACTGTTTGCCTTTACAAGGAAATCCTCTATTTTGTCTCTGCTTGTGTTCCACATAGATATGACGTCATCTATGAATCTTTTCCAAAAAATAGGTTTTGTGGTGCTTTGTCTGAGTATTTCTTTTTCTATTTTGGCCATAAATATGTTAGCAAAAGCTACGGCCGTTTTCGTTCCCATGGCTGTTCCATGAGTTTGGAGATAATCTTTTCCATTGAATTGGAACGAGTTTTCTTGTAGAATCAGACTCAGCATTTCCCTTAAATACCTGGTAGGAATAGGAGGGTTTTCCTCATAGAATTCCTTGTATGCTTCGCATACAGTGGTAATACCCTCCTCCTGGGGTATGTTCGTGTAGAGGCTGGTGACTTCCATTGAGACATGAATTGTACTTTTAGGCAGTTTAGTCTTCTCGATGAAGTTAAGAAAGTCTCTTGTATCTTTGAGATACGAGGCTTGTTTTTGTGCTATTGGCTGAATGAGGTGGTCAACAAAAGCTGAGATTCTTTCTGTAGGGCCGTCACACCCAGATACGATAGGTCTACCAACAGGTGTCGGTTAGTGAATCTTTGTGAGTGTGTAAAGATAAAAGTGTTGACAAGCCTACACGACTCCTGCAGTTCGCGGATGAATAAATTCTAATAAAGCCTTCATAGCTTAGCTTTAACTAGAATGTCCTTTAGAAACTATTTAAATTTCACGATTTTGATGAAATCGCAAAAAGCGGCGCAAAAATAACAATGAGGTAATTTGTCACGGCCTGTTTATAGTTGCCATAGTGATGACTCTGCTCCTTTCATGTTATGCAAAAGAGGTCTTGTTTAACCAAACATACTGGACAAAAAGAGCGTGTGATATACAAGGCAACATGGCAGCGAACCCTACAGCACAATTCCACTGCGTTTTATAACATCTTGATTTCGACGATGAGAGCCATCAGCTAGATGAGATCATGCCAGATACTGAGAATCCACGTTCATATATTCGACCGGTACCACTGCCCATTCCTTCACATCAAGGGCTAAAAATCACTGCTAGAAATGCCAAATTCTACACTTGCGAAGTTCCAACGAGGAAGGAAGTTGCGAGGGAGAATTATGAACGCCGTAGACATCAAATGAGCAAATGCGGTTATCGCTCGGTCATTTACAAGCCGTATCAACCGGTTGGGGAGGTGTTTTTGGATGATAGGAAGTTAATTTTGAGCGCCTTGGGACAGGAGCAAACGGAACAAGACAACCAGGTATATTGTGACGTTGTGCACTCTAACATTCAAGATAAAGTTTACCCTCTTAGGTTCATATTTCAAGATGAGAATGAAATGATCTTTATTCATTTCATTATTCAATACACTTGAGAACGTTTGATCGGGCTTTGAAGTTAATTTGCGCACGCTTATTAAAATGTACGCAAAGTTTAATAAGTAAATGAACCATCGTGAATCAAGGCGCTAATGATTTTTCGCATGATAGTGACGTTGTATTTACGATTAGTCAGTAATTTTCGATCGCGATCAGGCTCACTTCGAATTTTCTTCGTGATAAAAAAACTGTCCCAGCTGAAATAATTTTAACCCGCAGAGTCACGCCACGAACGAGGACATTTTAACAAAGTAATACTGTTGCGACGTCTGGAGAAATTTCATGGCTATTTGTAAGCACTGTCACGATAACGTCATATTAATATTTAATTTTGCTGCCTTCGAAAGGAAGGGAAATGCCAAATATTTGAACAAACGCCCGATGCGTATTATATGAGTATTTCCAAAAACCGTCGTGATTATCAGAGTATGCTTTACGATATGAAACATAAAACTTCTTCTTAGCTGTAATTACCATGGATGTCCCTAAATGAAATTACCGTCAGTAATCGACTTCATCAGTTCGTTAACTGTTTATTCGTCTCTGATAGATGTCCGCATAATTTACCGCAAGAGTGCCTTCTTTACAGGTGAAATAAAAGCTTAATATTGCAGCTGTCTTTTTTCAATATTTTGACACATTTCACTGCGAATCAGTCTTGTGAACGAATACACAACAAACGCTGCCACGTCAGCCAAGTATTACTTTTCGAATCGCGCCAAGAGAACTGACACAGAGACCGACACATCCGAGTCTTCCGACTTTTAGATATAAATGGAAAATATTAAACTAAATGCGATTATTGCTGCTCCGGAGGGGGACAAAACGGACAAAAGCGACAAGTGCAAACATGCCTACAATGAGTTGAACAAAACTATTATTGCAAAGCCGAAATTATTAGCAAATTTAGGTTGAAAGATAGATTCAAAACCTTCTGTAAACCCTAGAGAGCCTGGTAGCCCTCAGTTTTTTTGGTTGTGTTGCCACACAACCCCCCTCCCCCACATGCATAAAATGACGACACTAGCTGGGAGTCCTAAGTGCACAAGTGTCTCCCATATGTGCCCTGTTCTTTCTTGTCCCATGAAGCTTTCAAGTGCCTGCTATGCTAGGTACACTGACAGGCCACTGGGAAGTTAGGAACTTGGTATCTTTGGGCACAAAGATTAAGTTAAGAAGAAAATGTACTTCTCACCTTCTTTAGATTCAAGATGAGTCTTCATCATCTTCTGGTGAATCAGAATCAGAGGATGAAGAATCTCTGCGGCAATCAAAGGTAATTGTTGTGATTAATAATTTATTAATGATCAATAAAAAATTAATAGTAAAATAAAACATGATGCTTTAATCGTTAAAAGTCACCCCCACATTGTTAAAAAAAGAAAGGAAAAATAGTATTGAAAGGTGTTACGTAAATCAAGGTGGCTCTCAATTTACCCTTCTTCGATAATAATGACTTAGTACTGCCCAAATGTAATCTTGTACCCAGATCTCAATGACGTATGCCTAGCTGGCAGGTGGGAGTATTAGACCGATATATAATTCAAAAAAGAATTTGACATGATGTCATACTAGTGATATTTTTATCTTTACTGTGCATGATTATATTTTAGGATCAGCAACCAGTGCTTCCACAGCCAACCAACTACAAACCAAAGGTTATGAATGATATCAAGGCCCAGGTCAACAAGGGAAGGTTCGTGAGAGTAAATTATCTATCAGGGGTTAATGTCCATGATCTACTGATGAGAATGTCAAAAAAATGATGGGGTTGAAATTTATTAGCTTTCCCAGGCTGAGATACAGTGCGGAGGGCAGCTGCAGAATCTGAGAAACATTAACACAGACTGACACTCAGACTGCCTGATGTGTATACAGTGGTTGATCTACACTGTAGGGGAGGGGAGGGACCTGCATGTCAGCCTTATATTTCTAGGTCAAGCTGAAGCCTAACAGGACAAAAAAAATTCTCGACCCACTTATTTGAAAATGTGAATCCACCTGGTCATTATAAAGAAATCATGGGTGTTAACAATAAATTCCCAGATTTTACTCTGTGAAGAAGAAGTAATTCCAATCTACATGTATGGGTAAATAGGAACAACAAGTCTGGTAATTATGCTTTATGGCATGGAAAACCTTTAGGGTCACAGCATATACCACTACTGGGTCAACTGGGGTTCCTGTGCAGGCTCCTTCCCACCTACCTATCCAGGTCAACCTCTTTTTTTGAACAGGCTTATAAATGCATGACAGTTTAAAATAAATTTCCCTTTTGCTTTGTTTTGTTAACATTAACGATTGATAAATTTCTGACCAGGAAAATGATTCATGCTGTGAGACTTGGCTTTGGATTGTACAGGCTCGTCCATGATGAACAGCACAGAAAGGCAAGTTAACTCAGAATTCTGTGGCAATTTCATGTACAGAAATATTTTGTATAACACTTCTACTAAAAGATAAATTGGATTCATTAATATTATTTATCAATCAAAAAATTCAATATTGGTTTAGCAAGCAGAAGCTGAGAGGGAGAGAAAACAAAAAGAAGAGGCTGCAAGAAATCAGATGAAACCTGCTTCCACTGACAGTGAAAATTCTGATGACGAACTAGACATTGAACTTAAAAGGTATCTCAAAATTGGTTAGACTATTTTCAGTGATTATTAAAACAGCCCATTTTTGAGACCTGATTCTAATTCTTAATATGTAAAATTATCAAGTTTATAATAGGTTAATATTATTTATTAATTTTGTCGTATTACATCTCAACAGTTACATGATTCCAGCACCAAGCAGTCCAAGTCGAGAGACAGAGTAAGTTTTATAACAAATAATTTAATTTTGGGCATCGAAGAATCCAGACCAGATTTGACCCCCACCACTGTAACTCATTAAATACCAAAGGGTTAGGGTTACAGGGATTGATAAATCTGTTCCAATTCAGAATTTTCAAACTGCCTTTCTATCTATTTCCTTTCCCTTTTGTGTCCAGTTTCTAAATTTTAACCATATATAGGTTTAGGCACTTGTTTATCAATGTTCTGTTAGACTGTCCACACTCCCCTATTTTTCCGTAAGATCGTCGAGATGAAAGGCTTTGCATTACAGGCAGCCATCTTGGATGAGTGTCAAATCTACTAAGGGGATGGAGAACAGCCAAGCTCCCCCACCTCTATAGACCCCAATGACCACCCCCTTGGTACATATGAAGCCACGATGGCTGTTCACAATCTCTAAATGGTAACCCTCCATCCTGATGATCTTATGAAAAAATTAGGGACTGTGAACAGACTAAACTTAAACTTGCAGTGAGCACAGGTCTGTCTGTGCATCACTAAATGCAGGCTTACTGTAGGATTTTGATTTCTGGCTTGGCATAATGATAGAAAAAAATATTTAGAGAACACTTAAATAAATTCAATTGAAGGGTTGTCTTAACACAGACGTGGAAAATAAAACATGCATGAAATTTAATAAACTGCTAGATCCTTTTTCAAAATTGCCTTCTGTTTAATGGAGGAGCAAAGGGATAATTTGACATACAATTTCTGCCTGGTTAAAATACTTTAGGAAGGCAGTAATATTTTTTATAGGCAACATAACCTCAGCAAACATGCAGTAGTACATCACATAAGGGTACCATATTTTTTTTTTCCTTAGTTATGGAGAACACGTTGATCCTGCACAGGACACCCAACCAAGACCCAGTAGCTCTCATTCTTCCACCAGTAGTCAAAGGTGGAAACAGCTTGGTAAGCACAGTCAGGTTAATAAATATTACATCCACCGAGTATACACCTAATTGCAATAAGGTTGTCATAGAAAAAAGCAAAAAGCAAAAAGTTAAATAGGAATTAATTAGCATATAATTATCATAGCTTGCAACATTCACAACACACACGCTTACAGCTGAATATTAATCACGTAATATGAGAGAAATCATTTGCGTCAGTTTCTTAGTGTCATTCTCATGCAATTCAAGGCTGAATCATCTAGCGAATTTCAAACGTGCTTGAATTACAAAGCACATCGGATAACTACCAAAGAAATAATGGCTCCATTTTTTTTCAATAAATATAGCCTGGGGTAAATTCCAGGAACTCAACGCGTGTTTTAGATTAGTGCTAAATAGAAAAGCCAGTCTGCGTATGGTTTGCAGTGCACAACACCCTCTGATCACAATTTTTAAGCAACAAATCAGGGGCGTAGGCAGAACTTTTCATCGCAGAGAGGGTAAGGGGGTCCTCCGCCAGTTCCTCACCTGAGCCACAAACCAAGCTTCGTTTGTCAGGACATAATGGATTGGCGACTGAACGAGCGACAACTGAGACATAACATTGCTCGCATCAATTTACCTTTTACTTTCTCGAATTGCGCGACTTCTTTTGACGGAGAATGTTGGCTCTAAAATGATTATGGTGCCTGTCTATCTTATAGCGCAGAATTACATATAAATTATCTCTTGCTATTGTGAATGAATTCTTAAATAATTGCTAAATACTGAATTAAAATACGCAAATGTAAATCACATGGCTAATTTATTCCTATTTGGCTTTTTTGCTTTATGTTTTTTTTTTCTATGACAACGTTATTGCAATTAGGTGTATATTAGATAAATTAGATAAGACACATGACACTTTCACCAACAGTCTATTGAAGCTGAATAAATACTACAGTTTGACCTCTCCACAATGGCCACCTTGGCGACAGAAGAAAGTGGCCATTGTAGAGAGGTGGGCGTTGTAGAGAGGTGGGTGTTGTAGAGAGGTGGGTGTTGTAGAGAGATGACTGTTAGTGGAGGTTTAACTGTATCTAAGTCTAAGCACAAGTCATACAATAAGCCAATCCTGTGTTTGCACCTAACTTAAATAAATGAATAATAGTAAATTACAAAGCGATGAATGAATCAAAGTACAGTTAATGGAAATGATCATTAATCAAAACTAATAGTAGAGAGCTAAATGAAGTCCATAGTAACCATATATGCCCTTTATACTTTTCTTGCTAGGTACGTCTGTCGTCACGTCAGTAAAGAGCCCTCCCGCATCACCACAGCCTACCCTCCAAGTCTCCTCACCCACCCCCTCACATTCAATGGATCTTGATTTTGACAGGCTAGTGTTTTTGCATTTGATGGATAATTTTTAGTCTATTTTAATGTGTATTTCAATGCTGGAAAGAACAACAAAGCTGTGCAAATTATATGTAGCTACTGTACTTTAAAGCTGCCTAAAAAATTTAATAAATAAGTTTTAATCCCTTTCTAGAATAACTAATACAGTGTACGTTTAATATTCGGGGAAATCCAGGGCAGCGAATCGGAAAGGAATTTTATGTGCGTTATCTAAGTACATGGAGAAAAAGTTTACAAGAGGGAATGGTAGAACAGCTTTTTCATTCTTGCTTAAGTTTGCAACTATTTCGCCCCTAAATATTCCTGCCATTAAACCAATCAGCTATAAGTGGCAGAAATTAGAAAGTACCGCTGTTTGCCACCAATAAATTTCTCTCGATTTCTAACAGAATTATCCTACTTACATAAATGTCCAAGACCAACTTCTTCCTTCCAACCTGCGTTATAAATTTCAAATTCATTTCTTTGTTTGATCGAGTACAAATTGCTCAAATAGTCCAAATACTCTGTTACCGCTGACCAGTTAGTTGAGAAGAACACCAAGTTCACGACAAACACGTGATCGTTTAGGGAGCCATCCTTTTATCGCGTTTGTAATAAAAACCAAGATGACAAAGTGCAGATGGAAGATGAACAAAATGAAAGGGGACAAAGAAAGTAATGCGAAACTATTCTGTTTTTCATGTAGGTCGTCAACTGAACATCCAGAAACAGATAGAAACATGACAAGTGCGCCCTCCAGCCCTGCCCCCACCACTCGAAGATACCTTCACCCACCACAGTCCGCTGCTCAAAGTACCATCTCAAAAAGCAGCCGCAGGTCTAGGAGACTGAGAAGTCAAAGGCCTTATTCACCGGTGTATTCCAATATCAACTACAATGACGTCACGGACAGGTTTGTTCAAAGCTACTAGCCAGGTCCGACATGGTTTAGACACCAGGGCCGAGTTGTTCAAAGCAGGGTTAAGATAACCCGGGGTTAGTGCGAGATTTTTATTCAGATTTGAAAGCTTAAAAGCATTTCAGTTTTAATTCTTTTTGTCTACAAGTTGATGATTGGAAGCTCTAAAAATAACAGAGAAATTGTCCGAGAAAATGCTTTTGAACACAAGAAAAAGAAACGCGGGTTAAATTTAACCCCGGGTTAAGCGCTAATCGGCTTTCGAACGACCGGGCCCTTAGTTACAGTTGGCATTTGCAACACCTCTGCAGCCGCTGGATACAAGCGCGCAACTTCGACTGATAGAGAAACTGTGTGTTTTGACTTGTTCCCAATCTGCTCGTGACTGCGCCACCAAAAAAATTACAGCACTTGCCCGCTTATAGTTAGCTTGCGAACCGCAGACGTATTTCCGGTGGTCGCTTTCTCCCTCCGAAACATAACGTTTTTCTCGGCGGGTGAAACTAAAGCCGAAAAAACCGGATGCTCTCGCAGACTAGCTTATAGTCTGCTTATCCCGCCCGCTACGCAGAATAGTACCTGACTAGCTTAGCTGTCCTATTTGTCTCCTAATTTCATTTTATGTGCCCAAGGGAAGATGGGATGGAGGGAAAAGGGGAGTCTCTCTTTTTTCCCTCTCTCCCTCCCATCGTCCCTTTCGCCGCGATTGTTTCCCTCTCTGCGCATGCTTTCTTCGAGTCTTAATGTCGCCTATTTATAGCTAACCTGGAGCTTAACCGTCTAATTTACCACAACCGGAAATCGCACAATAATGACCCGGGGGGAGGGAGGGGGGGTACTCGTCCAGTATTTGGGTATAGGTGAGCCGCTGAGAGATTGAAACCCTGACCCCGGTAAGGACAAAAAATTCCTAAAATATATACCCTATTTAGGACAAAGGAGAAAGTGCACGCTGTCTTGTTTCAATAAAGCCATTAATTGGCAATCGCAGCAGAGCAATTTCACGTTATAGGCTTTAGAATACTTTGAGTACAAACAAAATTCATCTTGCAATCAAATCAATCGTGCAGGCACAGTGCCCTGTTGACAGACTTACACGAAATTATATACCCTGTTTAGGACAGAGAGGTCAAAAACTATACCCTGTCTAGCGGCAGATCCCCGTGGAATACCCCACCCACCCCCCACCCCCCGGGAATAATGAAGAAATAATGAACGACTTTTGCCGCCTATATAATTAAAAAAATAAACTCGTTTTGTCTAGGATACGTAGGCTAATCCAGTTTCAATACAATGCAATACTTTACTTAAATTAGTACCAAGGATTAGTTTCTTTAAATAAAAAAAAACTTCACCAGTTACCAGCCATTTATGTCACGCAATGCTGGAGGCCATATATAACAAGTAAAAATACGTCAAAAAACAGGCATCATCATTGTTGATGTGATGTCATTATCACACAGGAAAAACATATTTCGTCAGCTGTGCGCACTGAACTGGATCTTAGAGGGGATGTCTCAGGATCAACAGCCTCCAGTCATGCCACCAATCACGAGCTGCTGGAAATTAAAGTACGTACCCTGCTCCATTGTCTTCCAGCTGGGTGTCCTGTGTTTGTTCCTGTCAAATGGGTCATGCCAGTTTTGCTTTTCTTGAGGCCTGAGTGTTGGTTTTTTTGTGGCTAGTACTTTAAAGTTAGTTTATTAATCTTCGCTGTTCTTAGCACGTTACTTTTTTTCTAATCTTTTGACTTCAAAACTTTGATAGCACTCAATTAGCTTTTCTCTTATTTTGTGTTTAATTTATTTCATTACCTTTTCAGGGACCTTAATGAAGACCCAAGAGCAATCCGGAAAAGAGTAGAAAAAGATAAGGTCACAGATAAAGACTGGGCGACATTTAAACAAAATCCTGCTCGCTTTACACAGGTGAGAAGTACAACATGCTAGAGATCTTTTTCGGAAGCAGATATTCAAGAAAAGGGCTGTTTTCTTGCTCCGTACGTGCAAGGGATTCCGGAGCCCGGGAAATTTTTGCTTATCAATCCGAAATCTGGGAAATTTTGCCTGTGGAATCCGGAATCCCACTAACGATTGGAATTCACTGACAAAAAAATCAGGAATCTGGAATCTATGGCGTGGAATCCGGAATCCAGCTATGTCTTGGATTCCCTTACGTGGGGCAAGTTTTCAGTACTGCTACTTATGAGGTGCTTTTGATGCAAGATTTTCTAAAGGTTTCAAACCCCCGAAAGCATTCAATAACCAGGCTTACATTTTTATTTATTTCCAAATCCTAAGCGTGGAACTCGAAGAGGCACAAGGAGAATCTCCATTCACCCGAATTTCATCCAGCGCTTTTCCACAACGAACACCCCCACTGTTGGACCTAGTGCTCTTCGTGTTCCAACAGAGACTCGGCCACGAAGTGGAACAAGTGTGACTGGAGAGACCGTGGTGTCATCCCGAACAGAAGTTCCGACAGAGCAAGCGCCAGACCAAAGGGCCTCTCAGGAAGGGAGTGGAAGCGACGGTCATGGAAATTCTTCGCATAACGGTGGTGAGTCTCGAAGAATTTGTTTTTAAGACATTAATTTTACACTGGCTGAAAGAAGGAGAAAGAGAAGGGCATTTCTAATCCATATAAAGTTGATTTCGCAGTTAATTCAAATATTTTTATCCGCTTGCTTCTTATGGAACTAAAAAGAAACAAAAAAGAAAGGCTAGGAAAAGAGAAAAGGTACTGACGTGAAAACCATTGGAAATTCCATAACGTTAGCAAATATTCTTTTTTCCCCTTTGAAAGTAGGTTATCTGACCTAACCGTTTTCTGAACCAAAATAAACTTAGATACAAGAATGAGAAATTGTCCATTATCAGCAAAATCAAAAACTAAGGTTCCTTCAGTGTAAATGAGAGTGCTGAAGTGTGCCTTAGCATGCCACGGATGATTGGGCAAACCAGAAGTAAATGTCTGACTGAGATATCGAGTCAAGTTCTGAGATATATATGGTATTTTTTTAACTCTCTTTCTTGATTCATTTTTTGCTTATAACTCTCTCGTTTTTTTTTCTTTTGGCACTAGGTGGTCATACGGTTACTTTTGTGGACCCAAAGATAAGAGCCGTATCAGCCCCTCCTGGGCCCATAAGTGAGCAGACCACTGTCACACCAGGAGCATTACCAGTCACCATGTCAAACACCAACTCAAACGGGGCCCCACAGAACGGAGCTCCAGGCGGGAATGATAAAAAGGCTCCACCAAAGCTTCAGAAACAGAAATCATTTACTGTTACAACAGTCTACACACCACCTTCAAATCCTAGCAAAGCCATGCAAAAAATACGCGCCAAGACGAGGGCAGCAAAAGCCTTTAAAAGCACACTTTCGGTAAGGAAAGATTTTCTTTTAAAAAATACAATAATGCTCTTTTAAATGTGCACTTTGCACGCCTGATTTCCGTGATGTGAAAAACGATTAACGGCCGGTCTGCGTCTCGTGACTCGTCGCCGAATGCTTTGCGCCATTTTGGCCTTAAAATCGAGTTAATCATGATATTGCTAAAATAAATAGAAACATTTATCTGGAATATTGAAGGCACAACTTCAGATCGATTCGCAAACCGCCGCAAACCTGTTACCGCTTTAGCCTCGTATTCAGAATGATCTTAACACCAGCTGCACTTTCTAAGTACCTAGAGTGTTATTGTATTTTCGGAAGGACCTATTAGATAAGATAGGAACCTGAAAGAGGTAGATTTGATCATAAGATAAATCGATACCGATTACTGCAGCGTGTTACTTCTTGTTGAGGTCTCATTTCTATTCTGTTTTAGCACAAGGAGCTGGAAAAGCTTGCGTCGAAACCTGAAGAACAGCAAACGGCGAGCGATTCACGAGTCAGAGCTTGGGTTCAAGCAACCGGTAAGGTACCACTTATTATACAAATTATCCCAGACGTTGGGTTGAATGTAAATAAAAACACCCCGCCCTGCCCCTTTTTCGTCTTCTAATCAGATGATAAATCTACTGAATCACTTGTTAGAAGAACGTAAGCAAGGTTTTGTTTCCAAACAAAAATCATGATCTACAGGTAACGACAAATATGATATGCCAAATTGTTGAGGACGAAGCAGGGCCCCTCTTCAGGGCCCCTCTTCAACCCCCCCACCACCACCACCACCACCTCCTGGAAATAACTACATTAATTGTTAACTTTTTTTCCTCTTCTTTTCATAACAGGAGCAGTTAACACTAAAAGGTCAGTTCATTTTCCATCTTGTATTTTAGTGGGTTTGTCATTGCTTGTCCTAGCGTTTATCCGAACAGTAAAGACCAACTCTAAGCAGCCCTGTGAAACAAATATAACAAGGCTCCTTGCAGTTTGCCAAAAAAAAAATACAAAAGAAGTATTCACACAGTTCGTTTTCACACTTAGCCTGTGGCCAGGCTCTCAGATATTAGGGAAGAGTCGCGAAAACAAGAAGCCAAGCGAAGTAAGACGTACATGATCACCGCCTCCTCTCCAGCCATGCCCACGCGCGTCAATTTTCGCATCAGTTCAGCCCTCGATCTTTATAGGGCCTCTATGGATAGCAGTTTTTACTTTTTATAAAAACTGAAAGAGTTACCCTATTGAAAAACAGTTTCTCTCTATCTCTGCGTGTTACTATCTTAGAGCCTGGTACAAGCTATTTGAAAATCTGAATAAAGCACTTTCCGTTTTGCCCCTTATTCTGACTTTCATGCAGACTTTCTTGACCGGGCCGTGCAATCTAAGTGCGAATTAAACCAGCAATTGTTTAGCCTGCGAGCAAGCTCTCCTATTTGGGCGAGTGAAGCGAGTGAAGCGAGAACGCGCGAGCGAGCGGCAAAGCCGCGAGGGGCCGGCCCCCTCGGCCCCCTCGCTCGCGCGTTCTCGCGAGTCTCACCTCGCTTACCCAAATAGAGAGCTTGCTCGCAGGCTAGCAATTGTTAAGTTTCCTTTTCTCTTGTCAACGGAAAATGTATCCAAATAACTGAAAAACAGCCTAGAATTTCAAACAAGAATTCTCGGTCCAAAATTATTCCCTTTAACCCACCTATGTGAAATCTTTTCATTTTCTTCATTAGATTTGCTGCAGCCGCCATAGCGGCATTTGGCGCCATCAGCCTGGATCACAGAACTGAGAAAGTTCCCATCGAGTCAAAAACAAAGTTTAATGAAGTGGCGGGAGAGAAAGCTCTTATTTTACACGACAACTTAGAAGTCAGGGACAGGTGAGCCCGCGCTATCGTTTGACACTGCTGTGTACTTTTAACTGGAGGAGTATATTCCCGGTATATGGGAATTGAACAAAAAATAGTGAAAATGCAGCGCGGGATTCGAGAAACGTTAACGGGATACGGGATTTGACTGCTACCCGGGAAGCGGAATTCGCCAAAATTTGGCACGGGATGCAGGAGTGGCAAAGAAAATGGTATTCACTGACGAAGTTGAAGGGAAGTTCGGGACGCGTATTTGCGGGGTAAAGGAGAGGGAATGTCCAAGTTGTCTGCCGCCTTGGTTCTCCGAGGATAGTTTAACGTAATTGATTAATAGTCAAAAGATGAAATAAAATCGCGCTAAAGTAAAGAGAGAACAGCAAAATTGGCTTATAGTCATGCATGCGTAGACGTTACGAAGACAACGTCTTCGTTCAATTTTTGCCTCTATAGATCAAACCCTCTGTTTAGAGCACTTGCTTCCTATCCGTCCTCTGTAATTATTAAGGTCGTTTATTCTAGAAGACTTAAACAGTATGGAAATGCGAAGTAGCAGCCTTCCTTTAAATCGCCGTGTAACTGTAATTTGTTTACCCATGGAGCACCAAGGAGTTTACACAAACTCGTTCAGGAGTGTCCGTGCTTTCCAGATCGAACTGGAATTTGGCCTTGACATTTTGTTGTCTTTATTTTCATAGGAATCGTCTTCAAGTGTTGGAGCGTAAGCTTATGTGTCTTGAGACGTTCAATAACATTTACAGGGCCCTTGATCAGATGCGAAGTAGTAGCGTTATTCCAGACACGGAAACAAACGAGGAGATGAGACAGCGAGTCACAGAGGAATGCAAATGGTTTGTTTGGGACTTACAGTTACTATCTTTGAGTGTTGCTTGCCTACTAGGCCTCATTATTGTGCGCGGCCGATGCGTTTCGGGTCACGTGGTCCGTTCGTTCCGGATACATCACTGAAATGCATTGACCGAGAAGGCCTGGAAAGACCCCGTATAGGAATTTAGTAGGAATGGTGCATTGTCTGTAAAGTAGCCAACTTCTTGACAAGCAGGGGCCTCAAAATAATCGCGTGGGCGAGGATAAAATACGTGCGAGGGAGCATGCGAGCGAGGAAGATGCGCGAGGGAAAAGACGAAAAGAGAAGAAGGGACTGCAACCTTTTTTGTAGCCGTTGATTTCAAATTCTCCACCCACCAAACGTATTAATCTTGTCAACATACACCTCCTTCTCTTTTTGTGTTTTCCTCGCGCGTTTGCCTCGCCCTCTTACACGTGACATGCTCGCCACGCTTGTGACAATCCTGAGTGACTGCCATCAGTCTAGCTGACCACTGCACACAGGCTTGGCATCCTTTTTTGTCGCTCAGGGTTTGTGCACAGATTTACCAGTCTCCGTATTGTTTGCACATGAATTTATGAACCTCGACCTCCAATGAGTTTCTGATCTACGGAGACGTAGGAAAACTACTGAGGGAATTTGTAAAATTTCTTGTTCAGGATTTGCTTTGGTTTTCTTCCCTCTTTGTGCAACATATTGTAAAATATTTATACGGTGAAGACGTGTGTTAAGATCTAACTATTGTCTGTCCTTTTTTATTCATCCTAGGTATAAAGACTTACTGGGTAACCTGCCGCAGGACGTAAAAGATGATCGATACTGCACTATAGTATTAAATCGTATCGCTGGTTATGGATCTGTGAGTATCACTCTTTGTAACCATAAATCACCTACCCCGATACTCTTGCACTGCCTTGCATGACTGGAAACAAGTTAAAGTGTAAAACGGTGTATGACACCATGTTGCCGAAAACACTAAACATCAAATACAGCTAGAAACGTGATGTTTATGAAGAAAAAAAGACTTTTTCCAGGATTGATAGTCTGACGAGACACTACTAGCCATCTCCAAAGTACAATAGCAAGACAAAAAAGTCTGGAACAGTTTCTCACGTTCTTTTATTTTTGTATTCAGCTGGAAGGGAGGAAAATAAGTAGCAATCAGTTCTTAAAAGTCTTATCGACGCTTCGTGTCTGGGAAATCTGCGCCCCTGATATCAATGCCACTGCTGAGGTGAGTATAGTGGACCTGACGCAATGAAAAACAGTGATAATGGATACGTTACTTCCTAGATGCCTCAAGCCTCTGTTTCAAAGCGAGGCTACCTGCGAACCCACTGGTATGAAAATGATTTTTTTCTATACAAATAAAACTCATTTTCAGGACACTAAGGTTTTCCCCGGTAGCTTAGCCTATTTTGAAAGAGAGAGTTTTTGTGACTCAGAAATGGGCCATTGTGACGGATGCAAGGTTTTTCTGTTTCTGTTTTTCTTTTGTTCGGATGGTCAGTTGCTTGTTAAAGCATTTGACAAGAAAAATTAAAAGTAACGTAATTCGATGTTTCGATGTTCTAAAGTTTTTATCAGGACTGAAAACTGTTAAGTAGACCGTTTAAAACTTTGACAGTTAACGGTTTTTATTTATGATAACGATGTTAGAAACACAACTTTACTTTTAATTTTTCTTGTATGTGGTTCTGGCAAATATAAATTTATATTACAATTTGCGTCAGGACGTTGTCGCAAATTGCCTGAAGCGTCAATTATTAAAAAATGCTGCAGCCCTGATTACAACATACTTAGCTTCCATTCATTACAAGGTACCACAACTCCTATCACACATTGCCTCCGTTCGCAAAGGGAAGGGGAAGGGTATTTGGACGACATCTCCTTTTCCTTTCCTTTCGAACGCTATATCACAAAATGCGTAAACTGTTACAAAATTTCACAGGAGAGTAGCTCTTCGAATGATTGCGGTGTATTGGAGCGATCTGTCGGCTCTCTTATCGCACTATAGGCCACCTGAATTCGGAACGTGGGTTTGTTTTTTTCTGAGCGCGATGCGCTGTCGAAAGGAGTGGGGGCTGTTTATGGAAAATAATAACACATTCGTGCCTACTTTTCTATTAACAGTTTGTTCGCGAAAAAATTGTGGAAATGTCTGAACTGGAATTCGAAGATTGGCTGAACGCCAAGTTTCCACAGCCATCAAGACCGGTCTCGGCACCGCTACCAAGGAGCAGCGGTTACCGCTATTAGACCTGAACTTCTTCACAAAGGAGCCAGCTGTTAGTGTTAATACTGATGACGGAAGGACTGAAGCTATGTTGACCGGCACTCTACCGAATAGATCAGTTTGTGACGACACGAAAAATATCGGATATAGTAATGTATGAACATCTATCCGGCGATATGTGACTCTACACTTTCGAGATCGGCGCGCCTCGCAGCTTCGCTCCGTTACAGAAACCGCGTCTCAATGACTGTTTTTAGCTCTCCAGATGATGGTTTTCGTACCTTTGAAAAATATAATAAAGGTATCCGGTATGGTGTGTATATAGCCTCAATACTTCGGCGAGTTCCACTGAAAAAACGGTTCATTTTCAAGAAATTTAACCGTCTAAGAAAGCCTCGTAAAGACGGCTATGTTTGATTGCAACTGATAAAGACTTTGTCTCTCAGGAACGGAGTATACCGTCTTACTTTGATGAGCAGCAGCCGATTAAGCTCTGTGCCTTTTTGAAGCACCTTACTTTGTTCCTGAATAGCAATGAATATTGAAGTAGTACCGTGAAGTAAAAATATAAAGCTTTATGTTTAGCTTAAAACCAAATGAGAGCGGTAATCTAAGTACTAGCTCTTTTCTTTCTTTCATTTAGTAAAAAATCATTAATGCTCTGGGCGTCAAAAACCACTTTTATAATGTCATAAATATTAAGCACCTCGCTCGTATACGTACGTATCAGACCAGCAAAATCTGCAGTCTTTCTACGTTTATAAAAGATACCTATTTTCATTCCATTAAAAATGACTGTTATAGTTTTGAAAAGTTGCTGCCGGACATATTTTATACAGATTTATTTATACATGGTTTTTAGCGGAATGTATAAATAGTTTATAGCAGTCAGTTCTTAGTTTTACGAAAGATTTGTAATAAAGGAAGCGTTAGGATATTCTCACACTGCCTTTTTTTCCCTATGGCAAGGATTTCAGATAAAGGAATTAGTTTGCCTGCATCTCACTTCCGCTTCAGTGATCAACTCTCTTTGATTAAATTGAGCTGTCCAGATTTTTCCCAACAGTTCGTATGCGGGGAACCTTTAACTGAATCAGTGGAACTTGGGAAGAGAGGTCATGTAAGGGTTGTCGGGTTTCAAATACCATATTTCCTCGAATAATAGCCGTCCCTCGATTAATCGCCCCTCCCCCCACCCCTATAGGTTAAGATCTAGGGATACCCATAGCGGTTAACTTAATTGCAGCTCGGGATGAAGCTTTATTGGAGTCTGATCCAGCAAAACTGATCAATGACGATGACGCTGAGGCTATTGACGTTAAAAATTAATCACACCAATGTTCAGTTTATTTTGATTCGAGTATTTTTTTTTTACTGGGAAAATAGAACATAATATTAGGGCACGACTTCTAGTGAGCAATATTTGAAATAATCCCCTCCCTCGAATAATCGCTTTCCCTCCAATAATCACCCCCTTTTGTTGCGAAAACAGAAATAAATAATCGCTCCCGGCTATTATTCGAGGAAATTCGGTAATCATCGCTACTGTTACGAATCCAATTTCTTTCCATCAAGCCTCATTAAAAACAACTTCAATTCTGTGAAGTATTTTCCTTTTCAACTGCTATAAGTTGTTTACTTTCTTGTGAAGAACGTTAAAAAACTCATCATTGAACAGTTCTCTTAGTTCTAAGAGTAATCCTGAGGTGGAACAGAGATTTCATTCAATATATCGGACGTGAATGCAACATCCTGACTCAAGGTAGATTTGAAAAATTGTATCTTCTAAAGTCATTCGAATGAAAAAACTCACTCACTTTCACCCTTAAACACACCTTTTTATTCACTTATTATCAGGCAATTGTTACATTTGTTTAGCAAATGTTTGTTTTTTCTGGCCTGGGCTTTCAGTTACAAAAATAAAAAAAAGGAAATCAGTGCACTGTTTTAATTTCCATTATTATTTTCATTAATTAATACTCTGCTAAGCGATTTTATTTAGTTTTGCGCTTCACCATCAGATTTTTATAAGTAGGATAAAATGCATCTGATTTCATGTGTCTGACAGATCTACGCTCCATCTTGAATGATGGTGACTTTGATGAACTTGATTCCAACCCTCTCTCCTCTGCCACTTTTGTAAGTTTCCAGAATAAGCCCCTTGTTTAGCATCAATCGCCTATTGTAGCCAGTGGTCTTCACAAAGCCTCCGTCATGCGTGGTGTAACACGAGCCCCAGCGTTCATCCAATTTGAGTGTGAACACAAACTGGCCGGGATAGAAAGAGTCACTGGGCTTGGGAGTGACGGGTCCATACCTTTCGGAGGATAACTGTGTGCCAGAGGACCCTTCAAGTTTATAACAGGGGGCGTTGGTGCGATAGTTCCCCTTGTCACAAGTTCCAAACCCAATAAAGTTGGTACCGTCCGAAATGCCATATTTGATGTCGCTATCGTACACCTTTCCGATGTTGACGTCATGAGCCACGATAATCTCGACAGTCAGCGGTGTATTAGGCTTCAAGAAACCAGAAGGGATCATGGGAACTTTTAAGAGGGCAGCGTTAGTCACAGAGCCTGCATTGAATGTCAGCTGCTGGGCGGTTGTTGTGCGAGAAGTTTCGATGTAGGACGCATGCGCCTCCAACCATGTTGGAGTCATGGTCTGATGGTAGATCACTCTTGCCTGTAAAATAAAAACAAACATACACGCACACAACATAATTCAAAAACTCCAAACTGATCCAACGGTCAATTTTTAAGTAACGAAAGATGCGATGTCCGGCTTCTAGCTCTGTGTTGACCGTATGGATGAAATCCTAGGATGTGACCGTTCAAATGAAAACCTTCAATGAGCTGTATGGGTATAATTTTTTCCGTATATTATGCGCGCGCGATAGGCCAATATTGAATATTTTAAAATTTTCAGTACAGCCACTTCTACGACGAGTGATCCAGTGAAACGGTTAACAAGATTCAGGGGAAGCATTATTCGCAACGCATTTTCTTAGAAATTTAAAATCGTTTTGGATACGAATTCATCAGAAAGGCTACCTCTTCTCTGTTTAAAATATCAATAAAGTGGTGCTTGGTAACCAAAGGACAATTAAGACAATTTCTATAGATTGAAAAGAAAGATAGTTCTAATAGAAAAGGGCACTGATATATATAGCGAGTGTACAAGGCTACCGCTTTGTCTAACACTGGAAAAAAAGCTGCCTCCTAGATCCACAGGCTTTCCTAAGGTTTAATGGGAGTACGGAACAGGCGAGAAGTCCGAGAAGGGGATGAATGATGGGAACGACTCAAACGACTGGGAACGAGGCTGGGAAAAAAAGTTAAAGGGCCCTGGACACAAGGCGAATCTCTCGGGTCGTTCCCAGTTTACCTTTGCTCCAGAGGAGTCTGCTGAGCACGATGACTGCAGACAACAGGAATGAATAGCCTGAGGTCAAAAAACAAGAAAAATGCATTTGAAACGCACACATCGTTAAACACTGACTGAATTTTGGTCTTCATCAAAAATATACGTAGTGTTCACTCGGTTAATTAGAAGTATTTCAGTAGGTCTTTAAAATGCGTTAAAACAAAAATCATTGCATTTATCGTTTGATAGGCACATTTCTCAGTATATTCAACTACAGGTTTATTTCAGTCTATGGGAATTAGTATTAATGTTGACGTTATTCAAGCAAGCATGAAATGTAAATGCAGTCATTTGATTTAACTAATCAATAAACTACAAATAAACCCTCATACGAGAGACATCCGTGAAATAAACTTAATGCAAATGAATCATGTTTCGAGGTAATCTTTTCGAATCTTTTCAAATCTCAGTTTACTTATAGGCTATGCTGAAACAATCCCTTAAAGGACGTCGGGTCTCTCACACTTTTTTCCAAACAAATAAAATGAATAGTCTCAAAATCAACACCGAGAGTCTATTCAGCCTCCCCACTTCCGATATAAGTCAGCCCCTCTATTTGAAAAAATGTTCCACTTTGTCCTTGCGAATGTGAATCGTAAGATAATTTATGAATTAGTTATGAAAGTTTTTTAATAACATTGAAATTACGGCACAAGAAAGGAAGCATTTATATTATGGACTCGGAGATATTGAAGTACGTTTCTACGGGACGAATGAGGTTTCCCGCGAGAACAAAATTTTTATCGTAAAAGTGATCAGCGTTTTTGAATCCGCAACTAATTTAAAGTCGACTTCATGAAAAACGGTTAATGCTTAACTATATAGCACTGTAGCTCTAAGTATTCTTAATTTAACCTCAATTTCTGAAAATAATCATACGAAACTGCACAATCGTTCGTTGCCTTTAGTTTTGTATCGTAATTAAATAAAAATCTTCACTGTAATTTAAGGTGAACTTAACTTACAGGACAAATAAACCCAATCAACGCCAAGGAAAAAATTCCAGTGCTTGAAATGAGGGCAAAATCCTTCATCATATTCTTTAGAGAAAATTTTTTGGCGCTCTGAACTGCAGGTAAAGTGGCACGTTCCACAACTTCATACAATTACTGTGATTCACTTTTCCTCCGTTTAATTAAATTTACAACAAGAATTTTTCCTTGCAACTTTTTTTGTGATCTCACAAACAGGAAGAGGGGCCCTAGGGACGATGTTATCATCTCACTCGAGTGAACTCGGGTTATTTTAAAATACCGTTAACTGCCGTTTATAAGCCCTTGGGCTTATAGAGGGGCGTATAAACGGAGGAGTTTATATTTGAGGGGGATTAAAACCGTAATAGATAAAGCGCTTCGAAAGAACCTAGAAGTTCAGATCAAAATATGTTATTCAGTTCCTGATTTTTAATTAAGTTTCCAAATGTCACAATACGGTTAGAGGGGAGCTTTTATCCCGGGTTGCTTATAATCGAATGTATCTTTTTTTACGTAGATGGGCCTATAGCTAGGGGGGACTTAAAATAAGTTATTCAGCCATGATTGATTGAATGCAGCCACAGAGAGCGAGTCAAATGAAGAATATCAATATAGAGATTATCAGAATCGCGTTTACGGCAAACAGGCCTAGGAAACGTGAGATTCGAGTTGAGTAATTTTTAAACATGAGAAATGAGCAGACAAAAACAATTGATGTGGATAGAGTTGGCGTGAATCTACCGACCCTCCACCGATTTTCGTGTAGTTACTGAATGAACAGTAATCTAAACGAAAAGTGAATGGAAAACTTGGTCACGTGGTACAATTTACGTTTGTCGTGTTTCCTCTTTCAATGACTTGTCGTTTACTGTTCATTATAACTACACGAAAATCGGTAGATTAAGGCTAATTCTATCCATAAGAATTGTTTTGTGCCGTTTTTATCCGCTCGTTTCTCACTTTGAAAATTTCTCAACTTGAATCTCATGTTTGCCGTTTGCCGTAAACCCTGGGCCGGAAATGCGATGCTTAATCTCTCTAATGTGACTTCCGCCGGGTTACTTGCCTCCGTTCAACCACGGCTACCGGTGCCTATCTTTGCCTGGGTTTCCTCTAGCTACATTCATCATTTACTAGATCCGGCCAGGAAAGCAGCAAAAGATCGGTTAAAATTAATTATTTACCTGCAAGGAAACTCTAGACGAGTCGTTTAATGATTGGTGGTGTCTGTGACTTTGAGAAAGATCCAAAAACCCATTATGGCTCTTAATAGAACGGAAACTTTTAGCAGGGGAACCGCGGAGGGTGAAATGAGAATCCGTGGAACCAAAAACAAAGTCAAACTCAACCCACCAGAGTAAAGCCAAATGAGCTCCTTCTATTATGCGTCAAAGTAGGGGATGCGAGCTCCAGTCATCATACTGGAAAAAGGCTTTTTTTCAAAGTTATAAACAGTGGGCAAAAAGGGGAAGAAGAACAAGCCCTACTTCTCCCAATTCCAATAGGGCTAGGGCTTCTGTTTTCACAT